GTATCAAACAGCTGACATGCATTCTTTCGCAACATTACATCTGTGGCTTTCAATCCCCCCACGCCGAGCTAAATATTGGTCTGGCCAAAGGTAGATGGCACAACATAGGAAAACCACCTTGTCAGGCCAGGACTCTGCAGTCTGTTTACACCTGCAGGCCAGCGTGCACTGTATTACAGATAAGGATGTAGACGTGCTGAACGCTGGTTTGGTGGGGGAGTTGAGGAGGCCAGTTACATGAAAACAGAAAGACCATTACTGAACTGAGCAGGGAGCCTCACCATCTTACAATGATGGTGCAGCCACTCCCCAACTCTCTGTGAATGCTACTCGTGGCCGCTGATCAATACTCACGGTCCATTGTTAGTCAGTGCTGCTGGTATATATTGTTTATAAGGTTGGGGAAAGCTGCAGTCAGCTGAGCTTAGATGTTACCCCTGCTGTAAATGCAACGACCTGATAAACACCTGAATGATTGAGCATGCATCCAGACATACTCGTGTTAAAATGCTCAAATTTACTTTAACGTCTAACTACATGATGTCAAGAGTAAAACTACAACATTTCATAATATAATGGAAAGAATGTAAGTTACAGACTTATCCCAGAAATTTGAAATTAACTGTAGAAAATTGAAATGTATCCTGTTGTTAATGACTGCAGTGCACACGTGGAGACAACAGTTTACAGTTGGCATCGATTTCTTTCTTTTAAAAACATAAAGAAGTAACTTGCTCCTAAATTGCTGCCAGGTCTGTTTCACACAGTTGTAGCTGCTAGAACACAGATTAGCGAGGTGTTACCTGAGAGTCAGTGAAGTTAAATGCACTTTGAACAAAAGTGATTTCTCCTTTATTAGGCTATGGGGCCGTTTTAATGCTTTAAGGCGCAGCTGTTATGTTAAAAATAAAGAGCAGCACAGGATGGTAGATGTAGTGGTACCTGTTTGGTGCTTTCTACTCAATTTGAGCATTGAAAGCACTTTTTACAGGAAGTCTTTAAATTGGTAGACATTTGGCTGAGTGAAAGCTGCTCTGACCTTATGATCAAATCACCAGACAAACAACTTTCTACAGTTTTTGATTTTACTGGTATGTTTTCCTTTCTTTACACGCCACTCTCACCATTCCTCTGATAATGTAACTGATTGTAGTTGATCAACTTTGTGTTGAAGTAGAGTGAAATGGAAGCTGATAACCACAATCAGGACTTACTTAGACTTAGATCCTCCCGCGCCGATCGGCGCATCGGGCGACAAGAGAACGCCATCGAACTC